GGTTGCGGGGGGAGGATACTGATGGCAGAGGAGACATAGGCTCCTTCTGCCATCAATCAAAGAGGGAAGGGGCGTGACCTGCCACAGGGCTGTGTGTGTCTATGGACGCACACAGCCGCTGCGGGCACAAGCGTGCACGGGTGCCTCCTCTAGAACGATGGTGGCATCCATGCAGGGGGCGGGGGAAGAGCATGGCGGGGACCCACTAGATGATAGCTGAATCACCTTTCATCATTTAGGAGTTATTCTCAAGATGACCAACATTCTTGATAACCTGGCACTAAATCACAGACCCGACCTAAGCAATTGCTTAGAGTGACAGAATGTAACCAATTCTGTCACCATGGCTCAGAGGGTATGATGGAGATTACATAGTATTTGGGGTTGAATATAGACATACGTCCATCAAGTCCAACCCATATAGGTCCACGCATCATCTCATTCTTAGGGATACTGGTATCCCTAAGATGGAACAGCTCCTCTCCTTTTTTATTCCCATAGAGGGTGCCTGACAGCACAGTACTTTCCTCAGTTCATGCCTCTTTTGCTAATAAGTTATCCTCCTAGTGTCATGTCACTATATCACATATTACCAATGAAAGCCTCTCCGGCAATCCTACTCTCTAGGCTGCATCTTTTGAAATTACAAGGGGAGCCGGAAAAGGTGATCTGATTTTAGAAGACAATTTTTTGGTACTCTCACAATTTATTTTGAAAAATGAAGTCTTTTATTACAAGTACCAGGAGTTCTCTGTTGTACTGTGTACCGTGTCACTCTGTTCAGTTGTCACAAGTTTAGAGAATACCTGGTACTTCCAGGTAATGACGAGCATGTGAATCATTCTTCGTTTTCTCATTTGACAGCACTGGTACTTGCTGATTGGTCCAGTGCTGTCAACCAGGGCTTTTCTTCCTCACTCCCAGTGGCGTAACAGAGTGTTAGGGAAAGGAAGGAAAGTTGAGTATGTGCAGCTGTGGAGGAAGCATTAAAGTAAGCCTGTTGCGTTGCCCTGCATAAGAAAATCACAATTTTGCTCATAGTGTACAACACATTCCCACATTTAGAAGTGCACAGAAGTGCTCAGTAATTGTTGTGTTGCAAATAGCAAATCCTTTTTAAACCTACAAACCAATATAGTATACATACACCAAAAGAGTGTACCCATACATTTTCCTTCTCTTTATTCAATGTCCAATTATAACTTTTAACTTGGGCAAAGTCAAAAGTTAAACCATTCCCCTCTCACTACAATCACTTCCCGTGCTGATGATGCAGACAGATCCTATTCTGTAGCTAGATAGTGTCACCTATACCATTTTTCCTTGTTATTTGATAGTATAACAGTGCCATCATAGACCACGTGCATGATACTAAAAACCTGTGTCAACAGCCTTTGGGCTTGTGTCAATGGCATCAGTTTGACATTAATCTGAGATGCTTTTGAGATCATTCAGAATTTATTCACAGGTAAGTTTGATCTAGAGTTAACTTCCTGATTTAATGTGTAGCAAGTAAGTTGCGCTCGGTCAAAATATAAGTGGATTTTGAAATACGATACAATAATCTCTCAAAACAAATGGAAAGATTACGTGCAGATAACGGGAATCAAATATCTCAACTAGTGACCGTAAATTAATTGTTAAAAAGGTATGTGAACGTGTCAATCACAGCCCGGTGTTAATTGAGTGTTTATATATGCATAGTGAGCTTGACATAATCCTTCCTTCCTGATTCGCATTTCACCTGCTTCAAATGGGCTTTGCATTCTCATATACTTGTAGGGGAATGCTAAACGTATGACACACACAAAAGCACAGGCCCTAATTAAGTAACAGAGGGCATATTAGTGAATTTGTTTTTTACCTTAATGAATTCTCTGCCTTAGGGTAAAAACAGCCCAGGACCTTTTTATTACCCCAGTCCCCCCCAGTCTCCCCCACACTTACCCCTCAGCTGCGCTAGTCCCCGCCGCTGGTCCTGAAGCGATCCTCCGTACCCCGAACTTCCGGGTTGCGGGGGGAGGATACTGATGGCAGAGGAGACATAGGCTCCTTCTGCCATCAATCAAAGAGGGAAGGGGCGTGACCTGCCACAGGGCTGTGTGTGTCTATGGACGCACACAGCCGCTGCGGGCACAAGCGTGCACGGGTGCCTCCTCTAGAACGATGGTGGCATCCATGCAGGGGGCGGGGGAAGAGCATGGCGGGGACCCACTAGAAAATTATGAAGAACTTTTAAAAAAGGAAAACAGCCTCCAGCAAAAGAGGGTCTCCTTAAAGGAGAAATTAAAAAAATTGGCTTTAATATCACTTTAAGTTGTCAAGGGAAAGAACAAGTCGTTTTTTTTGGTTTGTTTTTTTAATATAATGGTCTTTAAAAATATTGCAATAATAAGAACTGTAGCATTACTATCTCCATGTTTCCAGGGAATCAATGGTTTAATTTCAAACTAACCTTGATTTGCATTTATATACAGAGACAAAACTATGCTTCACAAGGCTACTGGAGACACTTACATATGAACATTACATTATCATCAGGTATGACTGCTGGATAACTTACCCTGCTGATAGAGAATACCAGTCCAGGTTTTCCAGTACAGACACCCATAAAGCAGTGTCGGAACTGCCAGAAGAAGAGGTGCTCCATTATAAATGTGATGAGACTTAGTGCCATGGCTGCACCCAGCATGTAGAAGACTCCAGCCATATTATCAATATCTAGCTGACTACTCATCACTTCATTCTTTTCGTTGTGACAGATGCCAGTTAGCCAAAGAGCTTCCAATTCTTCCATTTCCCCTACAAAAATGAACAGACCATTGTCACATTCAGCTGATGGATGGACAGACTGTTTAACTGATGGACATCACCCAAAATAAAAAAAAATTAAAAATAAAATGTTTTGAAAAAATAAAATGATTTGAAAAAAAATAATAAATTATGTCCTGTGGATTTTCTTATCTGATATAATACTTATAATAATACAAGAAACATTCTCACTTTGGATAACGTGGAACATATTAAAGTGAGTTTTTGCTCTGTAAATAAATCACTATGCAAAAGAAGGCAGCGTACCTCATGAGAAGTGGACTCAAGCATTTAACTATAACAGGGCTATCCAGCTGGTGGCCCCTGAGACTGTCCGCAGCCTTTTAAGCTGGACGCTACAGAACTATAACCTATGTGCCAACCTCTGAGCTACAGTTCCCAGTAAGATAGGTGACCCACAGAGAAAACATAACTTATAAGCCTTCTAAGTTTGACTGCATATTTTACTAGCAACAAATATATACTAGATATTCTATATAAGTAAACCAGAATGTTTTGGAAGCAGTGAATGTATTATCAGCTGCTGTTAATAGCTGTTTTAAAAAGAGAGATGTGTCTCTTAGTGTGACTAGGATGAATGGCTTTGGATGGGAGCCTAAACATATTTGCTATGGGTTTCACTTAGACATGATTTTTTTTCTGGTTGCATTCTGGTTTCATTGCATATGTTATATTATTACAAGCTTATAATGTCACAACCTAACGGATAGGATATAACTTGTGCAATATGCCGAAACACTATGCTGGGGATAATTTTGTGCTGGGTCTAATTATTTGTCTTATTATTTCTAATTATTTTCATATTTAACTTTCTTATTCGATTGTCATATAGTTGCACTGTACTATTACAATTTGTATCAGGTGCTTTAAAGCGGACCTTTACCCATATCTTTAAAATAACAGCAAACACAACCTTTAGTAATGACAACCTACATACACATACTTCTAGATAATTGTCGGCTTTGTATTCTTTGTATGCCTTATTTCTCTTTTCTTCCCCAGTCTTCTGACAGTGGCCATGTTAACTAAGGGTCTATTACTAGATCTCCTTTTACTTCCTGGGTTTCTGGTACATGTGACTAGACATGTGACTAGGACATGAGACCATGCACATCATCTCAGGGGAGGGAAATGCCTTTCCCTGAGATCTCCTGAGATTACAGATGAGATTTCCCAGCAATGCTCTGCTGATGACAAGGCAGTCCAAGTGTACATTGCTTTGCCAAACTGAAGTAATTTTGCACTTTCAAAGCAGTAAGTAAATGCTCTGCAATTGTAAGTATTTCACAATCACAGCATTTTACACCTGACATGTCTATGTTATTATTAATCATCATGCATAGAGGGATGCATTGGTAGAATTTGATTTTTGAGTGTAAAGGTCTGCTTTAAGCACCTTAAAAACCAAATTATCGTTCACTCAAGTACTTTAATAATATTCATAAATGCATAAGCAAAAAATACTATACCTACAAAAGTACTCTAGGTGGCCACTGTATTAGGTACACTTTATAAGGTACATTTGCTCTTTATGCAGAAATAACAGGAATATGCAAAGAGTGAATCATGGTTGCAATGCAGTATCTAAAAAAGGGAGCAGTCATGATTACGAGGTTCAGCTGTTGCTCAATAAAATGGCAGACTTGAGAAGTTAAGTGGCTTATTCACGTTGACCATGAAATTATTATTGGTGCCAGACATGGTGTCTACAGTATCTAGGAAACTACAGACGGCTTGAGATTTTCCTGTAGTGCTCTCTTTATAGATTACAAACAATGGTGGGTAGAAACAGGTTAAAAAAAAACAAAAAAAAAACATCCAGTGCACAGCAATTGTATGTGAGGACACCTTGTTTATGAAAGTGGGCAGAGGAGAATGGATTGCATTGTTTAAGGTGACTGGAAGTCCAAAACTGTTTAAATAACCACTCCTCGTGGCATGCAGAAGAGCACCTTAATTCACAACTCATTGAACCTTAAAAGAAATGGGCTACAGCAGGAAAAAAACACAATGCAATTTAACGAATGTCTGCTAAGAACAGGAAATGTAGGTTACATTTGGCATGGAATCACCAAAACTGGACAGTTTGCGGCATTAAAGTGTGGCTCACAGATCTACTGACATTGCATGAAGTTAGTGCTGCAGTATAGATCAAAAACACTTTAAGTGTATACCAAACCAAACATTTTTTTATTTCTGGATAGAGTGGGGAAGGATTAGAACTTCTTTTGGGTTTTGTCTGTTATCTAAAGCTCTGGTACAGAAGGTATCACCTATATATTGTTCTGAAGACAATGGATTCACCAAGCAGGAAGTGAGGGAAAAGCTGCAACATGGACAGAGACAGAAATAAAAAAAATCTGACAAGGGTTATTGTCTTCCCCTAATCTACAAAAAAAAACTGTTTTCCTTTTTGTCTGTTTCACTACTTAACTTACTTCCTGTCTGGTAAAAAGGAGTTAGAAGGACAGGAAGTGTGGTGCTATTTCGCTAATGGAGCCCTGGATAACAATAAAAACCCAATGTGGCATTCCAACCCTTCCCCACTCTATCTTAAACTAAGAAAAAAGTTTTGGCTGCACATACATTTATTGAAGGTTTACAGCATCTTGTTGAAACCAAAGCCACAAAAAATTCAGGCTGTTCTGCCAGCAAGTACTAGATAGGTGTGCAAAAAGTGGCTACGTAGTGTATATATTGATTGTATATACTGTGTATGTGTGTTGTATAGCTGTAGTATGTGGTCAGATGGAAACTATAGCTTCCTGAACAGTTTTTTTTTGTATTTAAAAGCACTTGACTGTGAGGTATTTAATGGTATTACCCACAGGAAGTCAACAGTCTGTTTATCTATGCCTCTTTTACAGTCAGCATTCAAATTTTACTTACCATCACCAAATAACTGCAGAATTGCCAGATCAATCTGTCTTTTCCATCCAGAGTCCTTCTGTATAGCAATACCATAACCAGTGGATGCAAAGACTTTGCCACTGCCAATGGTCACCAGCTTACAACCTTCATCCCTCCCTGCCATGTAGTTTAGCACAGCGGCATCATAGATAAAGGCATCCAGTTTACTACAATAAAAGCAACAACAAACTAAATATAAGTATATATAATAAAACCATATATAAATTAAGTACTTAAGTCCTGCAATAGTAAAACACAACTGTAGATTGAGCAAGTTATATTTTGACTCCAGACAAAATTGATATATGTGATGTCAGACAGTTTAAATACTGAATGTATCTACATGCCATACAGTGGGATATTTCCACCACACCTCCCAGTACTATCCAACCTGCAAAAAATAAAATGGCAGTGTAATGCTAGCTTAAAGTTTAACCATAATTTTCAAAAACAAATAAACGTCCAGTTGCAAGAAAGGGGTTTATTATAGCTTGGAGGGAGGAAACAATGGCATAAACCTCTGTGGAAAATCTCACAGATGGAGTCACAAAGAATTATAAACTGCTACCAGGTAATTAAACTCATTGCTGCCTGCCCTAATTGAAAATATATATTCTGAGTGGGGTTTACCTTTATTATTTTTTATTTACACTGGAAAGGTAGTTTAAAATGTACATAAAAGGTATAAAACTAACAATACCAGAATTACTGTCAATATTAGCTTCTCTGATTTCCGTTGCCTACATTTAAGTATTTGGATAAATGGCTACAGTTAACATTGTTGAAGATTTGAATTCATTGATTGCCATTGACTGCAGGGAATAACAAAATAGCACAGAACAAAATAAAAAATCTATCAGGACACTGATGGGTAAAGTTGGCCATACAACTGGGGGCTAAATGAGAAAAAACTTTTATTTCCCCCATCCACGCCAGCCCCCCCTCCCACCATTGTATTATGACTAAGCTGATTGGCCACCTCCTTCTTCCTCTTTTGAATAAAGGGGAGGGGGCGACAGGGTGACACACTGGTCATATTTCGTTTAAGTCAGCGGGACCTGTGCAAAATAATTCAAGTGTATGGTCAGCTTTGTGTACAGCCCTATAGAAATGAGATAGCAAGATACTCAGTGTATGTTTACCTTGCTTCAGCAACCCATAAATAAATTTAAAAAAGTTTTATTGCTGGATATTGACCATGCCTCTACTCTAGGGAAACCACCTATATTTTGGGAAGCAACTTTTTGGAAGTGTACAATGGACTTGTTCTCTTAAACATAATGTTAACTCTGGCTGTCTTCATCTCTACTCATTGTTTGGTGATCAATCCACCAATCCTCACCTAGAAATAATAATCTCATTGCAGATCCAAACAGAACACCTCTGAAGACTGATGGATATTGTATGAAACTGAAAATAATCTCCCTTATTATTTTCTTGCCCACATCTTACCCAGTTTTTAAAGAAAGCAGAGCATCTTGTACTGATTTTTGGTTAAACTTCACCATATATGTATGCATCTCGAGGTAGTTATTACGGATGTTTCTTTCAGTGCTGCCATTAGGGACAGTGCCAAATCGAAAAGCTGGGGAGAAGTCATTGGGTCTTTGAAACTGAAAAAGATAAAAAGTTCACTGAAAAACATATTTAATGCACAGTTTTATTCATTCATTTGCACTGTTAGCAATTGAGTTACATTTATCAAATGGCCATTCATATTCAGACAAGACACAATAAAGGTTTTCTTATTTGTTTTTATATGAAACATGCGCCGGTAAAAAATTTGTTTCATTTCGTTTTCATTCAGATATTTCGACAATTTGTTTAGGGATTCGGACGAATTCCGAATTTTTGTAGTGGTAGTATGTACAAATGTTCGTTATAGATGATTTTTTCTTGCAGCAAAGGGACATTAGACAAAAAAAAGGCCCCCCCCCATTGATACCAGACCCTTTAGGTCTGGTAGGAATGTTAGAAGGGACCCCAAGTTAAAAATAAAAACAATAAATCCCCTACCCTTCCTCCAGTCCAATTACAATATATATAGCCCCTGAGTAGTGGGATTAGCCTCCCATGGGTCAAGCAAATATTAACTGCAGGACCAAATCAAGGGCCCCTCGTAATTATGGCCAAGTTCGGCATATATGCAATCGTTAGACTGATTGGAATATCTGTATTATACATGGGACTAACGTGTTCGTTATGTCTCAATGTAATTTGTTCTATACGAATTTATATGGCTGCTGCGTAAGCTATGTTTTAGAATGTGTCCTGTACTCTATTATTGTTCCTTATACGCAAACCCCAATAACAATGTTGTGAATAAAAATTTAAAAAAAGTGCGTGGGGTTAGTCCAAAAGTCATACCAGGACCTTCAGGTCCCCCTAAAATCATACCAGACTTCCTCTTTGGGTACGGCGTACAAAGACCCAAAGAGGAAGTGTGAGTGACGAAACTAGTTGGTGGGCGGAGCATACAGACATCACAACTTGCAGAGCAGCATGATTCAGCTGAGTGTTTTTTATCAAGCACAAAGTTTTTATTGATTTTGTAAGTACAATACATAATTTTACTAATAAATGTCTTATTAAAATAATGCACAATGGAGAGCACTTTTCTATCTCCCTGAGCTATTGGTTACCAATTTTAATAAGAGGAAAGCAGTAAGTCGTACAAAGGTTATCGCTACATAGGATCATAGAGGATCTGATAGAGGCGATTTGGGAAAATGCGTAATCGACAACCTGGACGGATACACCACGGATGAAAGAGAGGAGTAATTAACCGATCCTTGGTCAGCCCGTAAAAAGGCGACCACAAACAGCTGGTGAGTGTACATTTCAGACATTTTATATTTACAAGATTAAGATGAAGAGCAAGGAGATTGCCATATAAGCACTTTGTATTTGTATTTGTGTTTTATTATCTGTTTTGCCTGAGGAAGGAACTTTGCTGTTCCGAAATGTCGCTCTGATGATGTGACACTTGTGAAGTCAATAAACATTGACTTTTCTACATGCTGGAGTGCTTGTGACCTTTTTTGACATATAATACTGACTACTAGGATAGATTGTAAACCGTCAGCAGGACTCTTTATTGGACATGTGTTTTGATCTTGAGCTGTCAGTACACCAATTGATAGCTAGTAAAGAAGTGGGGAAATCCCAAATTGGCAGAGGTGGTCCCTTTTCTTAACTAGAGACACATTGATCCAAGATGGCAGCCATGACCACAATCAGGCAGCAACAGCGAGGTGACATAGCCCTGCTGCACATGAAAAGATGAAAAGAACAAAAGAAGGGGAGACAGAGCTCCAGGTCCCGACCCTCTCTTAGGGATTCAGAAAGTGAGCTACATCTCCCTGAACAACAGTTCACCAGCCCAGCACCTCCTGGCCCAGCTCATTGGCCGCAAGAACTGTTCAGCCGAAGATTTTCCACTTTGATACTTTCGGCAAAAGTCAATCTAATAATCAACTTCTGCCGATGTAATAGGGTACACACGGAGCGAAATTCGGCCAATTCCTGCTTAATCGTCCGAAATTCACTCTGTATATACCCTTATTTATTTCTTCCTGTTTATGAGGGTGCAGGGCAATTGTATTTGCCATAATTAACCTTGTCTTTACTGTGCTGGCAGATCTCCATTGTCAGTTGTTCACTAGTTGCGTAGGACAGTCTGTCCTAACAAATGATTAAAGATCTCAAGGCATTGTGTGTTAATGCACTGCCCCTCAGTCTGTCGCTTTACCTGCACATAATCATCCATTCAAGACAGCTTTCCTACATGGTCCTATGTATAATGCTGCTCCACATAAACAGATAAAAAGGTAACAAATATTTGTTTTTTTTAATTATTTTTTGCATTTGACTACAAAAGTGGAAATACACTTTAAGCCCTACTTTGAATGCAAGTGGGTCACTAAGTCTTATTTAGGGATCCAGTTGACACCCTTCCTTACAAACACTTTCAACAAAACTATGCTCCTCCCTTTACACAAATATTGGCTGAGCTAGACAGATCGTCAACATCTTCTCTTTCATGGTTTGGGAGAATACATTCAATTAAAATTAATGTTTAGCACCATTCCGATACCAATCCCCAGACAGAAAATGTGTAATATCCAGAATAAAATACTTTGTTTTTTTTTATAGAGCAACAAAAGACCATAAATTAACAAAACAACCCTATTCACCCATACAGCTCTGGGAGACCTAGGAGTTCCTAATCTGTTTGCTTATCATCAAGCAGCACAAAAAGCCCAATTAAGTCAGACCACAGCAAGAGGCTCTGACCCTCAATGGGTTTACATGGAAGCTCTCTCTTGCTAACCAATAGTAATACATTCACTAGTGTGGATCTCAAATAAGTAAGCACCTATCATAGGAAAGCTGAAGTTTCAGTCCGATCGCAATCCACACCTCTTCCAATGGTGGAATAATAAAGGTTTCATCTGCATAGGGGACTACTTTAACCCTATGGGACCCATAGCTTGGACCGTTATAAAAAGGATTGAAAGAACCCTCATCAGAGATCTTTCACTATAATCAGATCCCCTCCTTCATAAAGACTAAACGTAAACTTGCTACCTAACTTCTTACACTAGGTGAGATGATTTGTAAGTGTAGAGAGGTCTTGAGAGGGTGAATCATTTATTTATCATCAATAATTTGCTCACCAAACCCACTCACAAACTTCCATACATGCTGCGACAGAAGCAGGATCTCAATAAAAATATAGACTTTCAGGACTGGCAAGAAGTCACAAATAACCTGTCATGGGTATCTATGAACATTGCCCTGATAGTATCCAACTATAAAGCACTACAGAGGTGACATATAGTAGCTACCAGAATAGCTACAATATAACCTCAAGCCTTGCTTATATGTTATAGGGCAGGGGCACCCACAATTTTTGTCTGGAGATCTACTTTTCAAATGACGAGCTCAATGAGATCTACCAACCAAAAAACACCTGCATTCAGGGGCGGGAGGGGGGCGTGGCGGTGCATTGAAGCCAACCGACCCTCTCATCTCTCTCTCCTCGCGCTCTCTCCTCTCTTTCTCCTGTTTCTCTCTGCTGTCTATTCTCTCTCTTTGCTGTATCTTCTCTCACTTTCTATGCTGGCTCTCTCCTGTCTGTCTTTTCTTACCTCCACTGCAGCAGCTTCCCAAGTCTCCTCTCCTCTCTCCTTCCCGTCTGCGGCGTCTGACAAATTCAGCCGCATGAGCTAGCAAGCAGTAGATATATACCCCATGATTAAAAATAAATAAATAAAAATTAGGCAAATACTTAATTACTTGTTCCAGCGCCGCTTGCTCCCGGCTGAAGCACTCCCGGCCCCCGAACGGCTGTGAAGATGAAGTGTGCGGGCGCATTCGCAGTAGAGGGGAATATATTTTATAACTAGGATTAACCTATCCAAACTACCTGAACGTGCTTTATTTCATAAATTTGACAGGTAAATCTCTAAACATACTAAACAATTAGAGTTCGATATGCTACTGGCTGGCAGAGTAGCAATAAGGAATAAATTAGATCATGGTTAACAACAACATTACATGTATGATTTTTTGTGTGAATAAGTGCCTAGTAATACTATGTACTAGCAAGGCACCCACCTAATATTGAGGATATATGGCCTGGTATAGTTAAGGGAGGGGGTGCATGCTCGCTCCCCCCCTTTCCTGGCCACCCAGGCTGCTGAATTTTCTAAATGTGTTAATTAAAGTTAGTTAAGTAAAGTTAAGTAAAGTAAATAGGTGAAATTCCACAACAACACTGTAAATATTTTATTACTACTGAAATATTATAAGGTTCTGTCTTTTTCTTTTGGATCCTATCATCTAATGCTATTGTTCAAAATTAGCCTATGGTTGCTAGTTGGAAAAAAATACATTATTCATTAAAGAAGCTAAACTACAGCTTTTCACCAAAGCATGACATTCAGCTGAGATTAAATGAGGATTTCATTAAAGATAACATACCCATAATCCTTTGCTAAAGCAATGAAGAACAAAAGGTTCAGAGAACATGTTACTGGCAATAAATTTGGCCATTCTACTTTGTTACTGTATGTGTGGCAGTAAACATTTAAGCATTTAAAATGTAAAAAGAAATGTGATATAAAAAAATGCAGTCAAATTTGAGAAACCACCACTATATATTTGTTATGTGTTCCCACTTACAGAGCATACCCAAAAATATTGAAAAAAAATAATGCTTAACTTTCTAGTTTTCTTTGCAGAAGGTGTATACATAGGACACTATACACAGCTTATAATGCTTAGAATAGATAGCAATGTGCAGATAAGGGACAGAGTGAAGTTTTAAGTGCATTAACAAACAATGTACCAACCAGTATGGAGATCTTTAACTTTTTGTTAGGACAGAAAGTCATGCATGTCTAGAATACAACTGATAATGAGGTAGAAAGGTGAGATTTTTCAGCAAGTAAAAAGCTACTAATTCGGTAAGTAGCAATTTTTAAGTATTTTTTATGTTAAAGGAGAACTATGGGGTCAGTGCTTTTCCCCATAGTTCTCCTTAGGGTAACGGGAGGACACAAACTAGCGTCCTCCCGTTACCCTAAGCTCAGTATACCGCGAGCTA